TTTTTGGATGTTGCAATGGCAGTGGTGGGCCAGGATTTTTTTCCAATTAGTGACGGCACGACCTACTTGTGAAGTATGAACAAAACCAGCGAGCCGTTGCTGGTGAAAAGTTACCCCAAATTTGGGGTTAAATGTCTCGGTAATGAAAACAGATATCAAAAATTCAAATAGTAACTTTGTGCCCACACTCAAGCTGAGTAGAATGAGCTATGTCTGAAGTGTTTTATCCCAAATTTGTAGGAGGAGACACATTTGGCGCGAAGCTATCCAAAAATCAGTTTTTTTGGGCTGTTGCTATGGCAACGGTGGACCAAAAATTTTTTCCAGATTTTTCCTAATAACTAGGGTGAAGGTGTGACCTACCTGCTAAGTTTGAACGAAATCGGCCAAGCCAAAAAAATCACAGAAGAAATAATACGTGAAAACACTGGAAATGTACACACACAGACACACAAAACGACAAAAGTGATTATAAGGGCAATCCTAGCGGAGCGGATCGCCAACAAAAGTGATTATAAGGGCAATCCTAGCGGAGCGGATCGCCAACAAAAGTGATTATAAGGGCAATCCTAGCGGAGCGGATCGCCAATACTAGTACTACGTTAAATCGTGCAGACAAGCCTCAAATAAGGTGGTAGTGTAAAAGTTCCCTATGTAAACATACTATAAAAGTCAACAATAGCACGTCACAAAACACGTACAAGGTGTGCATGTGACCTGGTTTGACCCCACTTGGATGACTCATCGTTGTGTGATTTGTGTGGTGCTATAAAAGCCCTGATCTCATTACGAATCAGTCACTTGCAGTTATTACTACACCAACAGCCTTACAGGTACGTTTTATGAGTTATGATATGCTCTATAAGTGGTGGAATGTTGTATATACGATAATTCATGATATGTTATGTCAAACACACTTTGAATTGCGATAACATTCAGTTTATAGCACGTACCTACAGTGGGACAGTAGTTAGTTGTGAGTGTACTCATGAGTTGTGCAACAAGGTGTATGGTTAGGTTCACATAAAACACGTAATACTGTACTGAGCGTGGTTACCGTGCTAGACTATATACATCTAACAACTGTCTGTGTATAAACAGCAACGACTGTACAGCGGATGGACAACACATCTGCCGTACAGGCGTGACCTACAAACGGTGACAAATTGACAATGGGGTCTGATTCAAATTTAACTGTTACACTGACATCGGTTTTGCCACTTTCTCTTTCTGACCCTCAGTAACTAAGAAGTTTAATAACTTTCAAACTATAGGGCAGTGGTCGTCGCGCTGCGCATGTGCGACCTTGAAAAACATTGATTTTCCCACAATCCAAAGCGTTCTTCTAATAGAAATCACAAGAACGAGCTTTGACCTGGGCGCGAATTCTACTGATTTTCGTCAATACCTTCCAATCACCTAAAATACATAATTAAAGCTCGGTAACGTCTTAGTTTATACTCGTTGATCTGCCCAAAAAACAATGTCGCCATCTTTGTTTATATGATATCCATATATCTCGCGCCCTTTAATAGTTCCGGTTAACCCGCAACAAAATATTCACACGCCGTTGAACTATTGTTTAGAATCAACAACTTGCATGTTTCAGGTGAAGATTTTAAACAATTACATATATAACAGGAATTTGATAAATAGGTTGTTTACTTATTGTATTTAGTAATGGAAACTTTGCAAGACTTTAACCGTGAGACATATCCCTGGTAATCACGTGATCGTGTCAACGACTGCAGCGATTGGCTGATCACATATTTACTCCGCCACACCTTAGTGTTTTGACTTTGAATATAGAGAGTTTGTAACCTTAGTGAGGGGGAGAACGAGAGAGCGGTACAGCAAGTGGTTACCTCAGCTGACTGCTTGTGTGAATAAAGCTGGAACTATCTGTAATGAACTTATGTGTATTCATTTGGGTCGAATCTGGTATCTCTACGTGTAAGTGACATCAGGTAAGCGAGAGGAAGTTCCCCGATCCCTGAACACAACGCTTGTGTTCACAGCAATCATGGTTACTAACCGTGCATCAATATACTCGACTGAGAGCTAGTCTATTCAACAATGAAATGAGTGAATTTTTCTACAAGGTAAATAGTCCATATTTAATCACCATGTGTAGTTGTGCTGACGATTTGATTTTGTTTTCTCTACAGACTCGCATTAAAGTATATTGACAATCCACACTGTAATCATGTTGCTGGAAAGCATATAATCTGTTAGTCTGACGTATAAATTGATAGCGGTTGTCGTAATCCTATTGGTTGCTCTAATGATATGGAGCATCCATCGACCATCTGGTATGCCCCCTGGACCACGTGGTTTTCCAATTATCGGCAGTATGCTATGTAAGTATCATGACACTTGTTTCAATATACATGAAGTGCCAGATTAATTATAATAAGTAGTGTAGCGCATGAATACTAATTAAAACAAAACTGTGTCGGATTTAATTTAGAACTCTAATGACTTTCAGTAAAAGTAATTTATTATACCATTTATAGTATAGTTTTAATAATCGTTGATTGAAAATGCACACGTCAAGCTGAACAATTTGTTGGCCAAATGTTTAGCAGAAACTTTAATTCAATCAAAATATTGGTGATTGTGCCTATATTGAATTAGTTTGCCCACATTTCCCCTTTAAATTGTTTCGGGAAAAAAACTGCAGCACTCTATTCATCTATACTTTACAGCTTTGACTGACAATTTACACCTGGACTTTTTGCAAATGGCTAAGGAGTACGGAGACATATTCACCATCAAGATAGGCAGTCACCAAGTGGTAATCGTGAATAGCTATGAACTGATCAAAGAAACATTGGTAAAAAAGTCGACTGATTTCGCCGGGAGACCGCAGACGTTTACGGGTAGGTTGTAAGAATCAAATCTAATAGAGATTGATGTATTGACGACAAACATTTACTGAATGTTTGCTCGTCCCAATGCAATTTTATATATATGATGATTCGGATCGATTCAAACTTGTATTACATTTATATCGAACATAACTTTCATTATCAAGGCCATCCATTTGTGTGCATTCCTGATGTTTAAATAACATTTTTGGTTTTTCTTACAAATTCAGCATTCTGTTATATAAGATTTCCCTGCAGATTAAAGGGGGTTTTACGCATTTTGAACACATTTCTAATACGAAAAATCAAGTAAAAATATGAATGTAAGTGCTGGTAAACGTCTGCAATTATGTTTTCATAAATATATTCATAACCGATTGATTGTGAGTATTCAAATTGGTTGAAAGAGCTTTGAGTCATCTGCTATTCACACACTGATTAATACAATACAGGAAATGTGGGATCTGAGGGATTTAAAGACATAGCCTTCAGTGATTATAGTCCTTCATGGAAACTGCATAGAAAGATCGCACACCAAGCAATAAGGTATCCACAATTCTCTTGCTATGATTTGAATTACAAGATTTATTTGTCTGGTATACTGGTACGACTTCCCGAACGAGCTCCCTAGACCTTTACAAAACGTGTAGGTCCACAACGCTTGTTTGGTAAATTTATCGAAGGTCACTCTATACATTCAACATATATCTACTTAAATTGGTGAACATAATAATGAGGCATTGTAGATATATGTAGATAGGTTTTAGGTTAATATAGACTTGTTTGACGACGACTGTATAATAGTGCTGATCAGTCTTATAATGATTGTTGATTGTCTATGGCAATCTCAGTTGAGCTTGCATATGCATATAAATTACAGAGACGATTCTGGTTTATATAAAGTCCCTGGGACAGCTGCTCATGCCACAGCCACACAACTCTACATAATGGTTTATAAATGAAGTAAAATCAAAATAAAAGCATTTTATATCTATTTAATATTTGATATCGTCTTACATATTGATGACATACCACATAATTGAAATTAACTTTGTTTGTCATGTTTGCTTTTCTGATTTTCAAATACGTTTCCTACAATTTGAAAAACAAACTAGCACTGTTTGTTTCCCCGTCATGAAGTTCCCAAACAGTCGTGATATAACTCTCATGACATTTTATTTTCAGAAATTATGCCAGTGGCGATAAACTAGAAGACATGATGCGCAAAGACGCAATTCCTTTACTGACACAGATACTGGAAGACAATGAAGGAAAAGTTATTGCCCCAAGACCTCTTTTATTTTTAACTGTTAACAACATCGTTGCTCAATTCTGCTTTGGTCAAAAGTAAGTGTACTTAAATGTTTCAATTTTATCGTCTTTGCTATGTATGAATCTTATACAGACGAAAGTGTGCTCCAATTATCATGAATTATCACGGCATGTTATAATTTTCAAAAGGTTTCAAAATTAACACATACAATAACGTGTCACATCTGACACATACACGTGTCGTCAAATTTGAAATACATGATAAAATTATATGACAAATTTCATGAAATGAAATAACATTTTTACGTGATTTATTTTCTACATTTTGGAGGGACATATTTAACCCGATTGATCTAGGGTTTGTGAAGAAACTGATAAGATATTGTATATGTAAATCAGTATAGCAGTAGTCGATTCATTAATGTCCATTCTAGGTATACACTTGATGATCCAGAGCTTAAAGCCTTCATGGACCTTATAGACGAGTTTGCAAATGTGATTGGAAAAGGTCTAGTGGCAGATGTGATTCCATGGGCGGCCATATTTCCAACTTCAGCTGCTCGGAAAATGGACAAAGTCAATAACAAATATCTTGGTATGATTTACAAGAAGTTTTACGAGCATAGGCAGAGATTTGATGAAGGTATTTGCAATGTTCTTGTATAATTGCATAGGTTAAATGCTCTTGTTTGTATTAAATCGAGAAAAAATTCCGTTAGATAAATTATTATTTGAAAGGATTATTATTTTCTATGGATAATTTTGGAGCATTGTATGTACTCGTAATCAGGAATGGTATTCGAAAATATATAAAAACAGGAATGCGACAATCTAATTGGTCGAGACGAATTTGATGGATTGTATTACTTAAATAAACATGTGTTCACTATATATATATGCATGCAGATTGTATTGCACTTAACTTTTCATGTATTTCTAGATAATTTGAATGACCTCATTGACTATTTACTCGATGCTCAACGCCAAGCCAAGGAAGAAAATGCTGACAACATTAATAGTCTGACAGATACACATTTGGTGCAAACAGTTTCTGACATTTTTGGAGGTTGGTCGATAAATGCCACACATTTTCCGAATTGTAAATGCATAAATGGTATATTTTTCATTATTATTATTAAGTTATTTACTTAATATTGTAACATCTATATTTTACTACAGCTGGTATTGATACGACCACCCATACAATGGATTGGTCAATCATCTTCCTCACCCGATACCCGGATGTACAGGCTAAAGTTGCTAGGGAAATCCATGAAGTAATTGGAAGAGACAGGCTGCCCTTAATATCAGACCGACCCAATCTACCATACTGTGATGCGGTTATCCACGAACTGATGAGAATACGTACTGTTGTACCGATGTCTGTTCCACACAAAGCATTGGTGGACTCAAGTATTGGTAATATATTATATTCTATTATATTATATTCTATTGCAATAACAATAATATATAAAACTAAAACTGACAATTTTGGAACAATATAATCAAATTCTGTTTATTGTTAGGTGGATATCTGATCCCAAAGAATACATGGGTAATGGTTAATTTATGGGCTGTACAGATGGATGAAAAACACTGGGATAACCCGCAAGAGTTTAGACCAGGTATGTTTACCGAGTAATGAAATGGTGAGGGGTTGTTGCTTAACATTGTATGAAGGTATTTGATCAGATATTTCTTACATGCAAAGTGTTTATTTTCTTTATAATCATAACAAACATGACTGTTATATTTTAAACTTAAATATTAATTTTACAAAATCCATGAAAAACTAAATATTAATGAAAAGTAAATTTATTGTATCACATAAATTATATAACAATATCTATCTGTATATTTCAGAGAGATTCATAGATAAAGACGGCTCACTCAAAGCAAAACAGGACAACTTCATTCCATTCTCAGCGGGTCGTCGTGTCTGTCTTGGGGAGTCCCTAGCTAAGCCAGAGATATTTCTGATGTTCACTTCTTTGTATCAAAGTTTCGCGTTTTCACAAGTGCCTGGTAAAGCCTTACCAAGTCTCAAAGGAAATGTTGCTTCGCTTGTTCTTAGAGCGCCTGAATATGAAGTAGTAGTTAAAAAAAGAATATAGTTTTAGCATTTACTTTAGTTCAACTTTATTATTATCATCATCAGAATGTATTTATCGATTAATAACGTGAACGATAAGATGTTGTAATAGCTAGTAATGAATATATAATAAGTAGCTAACTGTTGTGATGATGTGAAACCAATTTGCTGGTATGATAGTTAGAATAGATGTGCATTTACAGGAAATATAAGTGACGTTTTGCTTCTCATACAGGAAAACTTGATAAATAATGCAGTGGTGTGGTATGTGTTATGATAGTTCAATACCACAACAAAAATATATATTTGTTAAACGTTTACATAATAAATAATGCTTTCGAAGACATACTTAAAATATTCTTTAAAATAGAAAACAAATATTTGACCATAAAATCTATTGCATATGGCAAACTTCGCCAGTGTACGAAATAAATCGCAAAACAAAGTTATGTAAGACACAGGTTTCGAAATGACGGGCGCGAATACAGCCTACAGTATCGTAACACCGTACTTCTGTACTGTACTTTAAAGGAGATTGACAGAGGGTAGTTGATTCTTGCAACATAGTTACGGTACATTTAATTGCTACCTTATGATGAGGAACAAATAAAGATATATTACAGATCTAACTTATTTAGATTGTCAATCGACGGTTCAGTGTAATAGGGTGTTCGTAAATATTCTGTGCCATCTGTTTGAGAATTCATTTGGGATACCTTCACAGAAAACATACCAATAATACAGTAAATTCCTTTTAACAAATCCAAATTCATCTGAAATTAGATAAGGATTAACGCGATTTCAAACGAACCTTTCTACAACTGTATATAATCAGTATTGTATTTCTTTGTGGGTATTGCACATTTACACTGTAAAATTATATTACTGGCTTAATTGAAACAAACTTGGAGAGATGTCGAAAATTACGTCATAAGTGCCGAAATATGTTAAAATTGCATGGAATTGATTAATCAAATAAGAAAACAAGTTCAAGATAATTACTTCAAAATTTAAATAATAATTGTTAATTTATTTGCAGCATTTTTACAGTAGTAGAACGTACATATATAAATGTATTATTTCACTAGTTCTAGTAATGTGTTGTGTCTCTGATTTTCTGATTTAAATATATATCACCCCCTCCTCAGTGGTACGTTTTCACTAGTGCATGGTAAAAGGTTTCCCCGGTCTTACAGGAATGCCGGTCATTTGTGCGTATGAAGGTAATAGTGAGGAAATAATAAATAAATTTTTAATACATTCATATATTTTCTATATAATACTAAATTTGTTGGTGCACACCAGGGATGTGAATATGGTATTCGTAACATTTTGAAAATTAAACCCCAAAATCGTATTACTTGCTATCTTTTAAATGTAATATTACAAGAATTTATCAGCTATTTATACATATTACACTCATTTTAAACGATTAGCTTTTCTAGATCTTCCACATTTGGATGGTATTTTTGATTAATAATATTGTTATAATTATAAGACACGTTTTTGTTTTGTTTTTCTTGGTCATACAAAAATCGTAATAAAAGTATTATTATTTCATGAATATTATTTCTGGTTGGATGAGTTGGAGAATTTATGCAACGAGTCGGGAGCGTAGAATGACACTGGTTATCTCACGCTCCCAGCGGCCATAGATTCGAGATACTCGTGTAGAAACGTCGTCTCGTTACCTTTACCTCCGTGTCTTAGTTCAATGGCGTTGACGTAGGAGAATGACATTTTACAATCTGAAGCGACAAGCCTTATTTAGTGCCGTGACTTATGATTTAGTAACCCGACCAGATAATGCAAATCAATGGACTAGCCAGATAAAGCCCTTTTCTGTCACAGTATTTGGACGAACCTTGATATATGGCCTGATAAAGTTTGCATATTTTCGGCGCCCTGATCACGTGTGCATACAAAGCTGTTGCTGTTGTTGTTGTTGTTGTTGTTGTTGTTATTGTTATTGTTATTGTTATTGTAAAACAGCTGTTACGAGATCAATGTTTGTCCATACGTGGTAAGCGCCGATTGTAAAAAAGTTACATATTTGGTACAGACATTAGTGTTGACCTTAATTAATGAAACTGCTAGAGAATCGTAAGTAGGATTTCATTACAAGGCGTACCATGTGTTTTTTTATTTTAGTTTTTTCATTACATTGCAATGTTTGTTATGAATGTTCTTTAAATGTATTTAACTGTAATTTTAATCTTATTTGTATTTTTTATTTAACTGTCATCTATTATGTTTCATACTGGCTTTGTTGTGAATATATTGTTTACATGAGTTAGAGTGCTTGAATCATGTTTTCTTTGATGACGTAAGAGAAAATACGTTACACCGTCGTGAATATGGCTGAGACAACGTCGACGACCAAATTGCAAGAGCTGTTGTAAGCGTATTTGTGTCCCACACTGAATTTTAGAGATTAGCTCTCCATTCCAACACGTTTATATGTATGTATATTATTATGACATTTTAGAATTTTTAAAAAAGTACATAAACGAGGACAGAAGTGTATGGTCAGCCCAGGGTTAGTAACTATGGTTAGTTTAAACATTGCCTATCTACAAGTCGGTGCCATCTAGTGGTCGTCATGTCAACGTCTCTTTTAGCATTGCTGGTGTAAAACTGAATCTCGTCCTTTTAACTACCGTGCCGAACTTACGTCGACGTAACATTTTCTAGAGAGAACACGGTATACAGTATAGCATAGAAACATAGATTATGAATTTTACGATTTATATAGATTGGTTTTACATATGCCTGTGACTTCTGCCTTACTGACCCGGTCGTATAATTTATTTCATGGGTATGGGACAGTGTATTTTATTTGTGTATATATGGGACAGTGTAGCTCCGTTGGTCGTCGCACGTAATTCTCTTAATTCACACATATTTATAATATCGCATGTTTTATATGGTCGCAATAAATTTAATACACTTTCACTTTTAGAATCTGTGGCAAAAAATGGCAACTTTACACATTACATTGAAAAACTAATTAATTGAATCGAATTTACACTCCGCTTACTTCTGTTTATACGAGTATACAGCCGCAATAAAAATACCCAATCAAGATGAACGGCGTACATCATGACCACGTGAGAATACGTCACTAACATTTTCATATACTAGTACTACGTTAAATCGTGCAGACAAGCCTCAAATGAGGTGGTAGTGCAAAAGTTTGCTATGTAAACGTACAATGAAAGTCAACAATAGCACGTAACAAAACACGTACAAAGTGCCCATGTGGCCGGGCATGACCCCACTTGGATGACTCATCGTTGTATGATTTGTCTGGTGCTATAAAAGCCCTGATCTCATTACGAATCAGTCACTTGCGGTCATTACTACACCAACAGCCTTACAGGTACGAGTTATGCGTTATGATATGCTCTATAAATGGTGGTATGTTGTAAATACGATAATTCATGATATGTTATGTCAAACACACTTGAATTGTGCTAACATTCAGTTTATAGCACAGTGGGACACGTAGTTGGTTGTGAGTGTACTCACGAGTTGTGAAACAAGGTGTATGGTTAGATTCACATAAAACGCGTAATACTGTGCTGAGCGTGGTTATCGCACTGTACCCTGCTAGACTATATACATCTAATGATTTGTGTGTGTTGTATTATTGTATGAACAGCAGCGAATGTGCTTTGGGTCGACGCCACCTCTTCCGTACAGACGTGGCCTACAAGCGGTGACAATGTACTTGTAAATAGGGTCGGGTTAAAATCGGTAGGTTCATGGGTTCACGTAGGCGTAGATGTCTAGATTACTATTGAAAGAATCAATCCGTGTATGGATAATCAAAGGTGTTAATCAATGACCATAGGCGGTCGTGTTTAAATTTGGTTCCCGGACACATGTATTTAATTGACTTGTGATTGTTCGGTCCCTTAAGTGAATTGTGCTTTTATTGTACATCGACCAGTTTCCGGTATATCTCGGCTTCTAGTGATTATACAGAAGTAAATCGCACCACATTAGGGCAGAACATTGTTATAACAATCAGTGAAATCATGATATGAATCCAGTCTGTATAGGGTAAATCATAATTTGCAACCATGCACAGTTTTTGACTCCATATTTTGACCGTATTTGTTCTATTGTTTGCTCCTTATGATGTAATTATAGGAAAGTGTCCAGTTCACGCAAACTTCCCCTCCCCTGTGTTGTGCGTCATGCAAAGGGATAATGCTTCACTGTGTCGTACGTCTTGCCAAGTGAACGGGAATTTATTTAGAGAAACTCCAATTATGTTTTACTAGATAAACATATGTTATTCTATCCCAAGATCCATTTTTTGTAGTACCATTAATAATTTTTTTTCGAAACTACGATAATTATTATCGCAACTGACGATTTAATAGTTACAATTCTATGACACCCCAACAATATACGTCGACTATTTACAATGTTGTTATTGCTCTATAATGTACGCACACCCTCAATAATGTCAGTGTTTTACCAACCCTCAACTATTGTATAAGTAATAAGTTTCAACATGTTCGCCAAACTGTGAATAACAATAACTCTGGCTAACTCGCAACAAGATACACTATAATACCCAACAATGATGAAATGAATGAATCACTCCGCAAAGCAAATGGTCCATATTTAATCACCATGTGTAGTTGTGCTGACGATTTGATTTTGTTTTCTCTACAGACTCGCATTAAAGTATATTGACAATCCACACTGTAATCATGTTGCTGGAAAGCATATTATCTGTTAGTCTGACTTATAAATTGATAGCGGTTGTCGTAATCCTATTGGTTGCTCTAATGATATGGAGCATCCATCGACCATCTGGTATGCCCCCTGGACCACGTGGTTTTCCAATTATTGGTAGTATGCTATGTAAGTATCATGGTTTCAATAATTACGTTAATAAAAGTTGATATTAGTTTCTGTGTAGATGCATATGCCACAACGTTTTTGCAACTTGTAGCATTAGTAGTGTTCCTTGTCGTCTTTTGAGCAGATAAATATTGTACCTGATTTATGTTGGCAAATGGACTTGTTGTAAATAGGCATGAAGGGTCAGATTATTTAAGGATCACTTAATGCAATAAATAAATAATAAATAAATAAATAAATAAATAAATAAATAAATAAATAAATAAATAAATAAATAAATAAATAAATAAATAAATAAATAAATAAATAATGTACTCCATCAATATAAATTTACATTGAATAATGTTAAACACATAGTTGGTCAACTGTCCTACATTTTTCCCATCATTTTCATATCTACCAATTTAAAACCAATTCATATTCTTTTATGCACAAATCACAAGTATATAATCAATGGATTTTACGAAATTAGATTGGACGTTATTACCTATGTTTTGTGTACAGCTGAGTATAAATAGCGCCCGATGGAATAAACATTTCACTGCTTATTGCTTGTGTAGCTTCGTACATATATACATTGGACTCTCTCGATGACGTCCCTGATTTATTCATCATGCATCCATATATGAATGGTAACAAATACTGGTGAATTTGCCTTTTTAAATACACACAATTCATCCAAAGTACCACACTTTACAGCTTTGACTGAGAACCTATACCTGGACTTTTTGCAATTGGCTAAGGAGTACGGAGATATATTTACCATTAAGATAGGCAGTCACCACGTGGTAATAGTGAATAACTATGAACTGATCAAAGAAACATTGGTGAAAAAGTCAACTGATTTCGCCGGGAGACCACAAACTTTTACAGGTAAGGATCAAAGAATAATGTAAATTGGCAGAACATATCACAATCGTTTTGACATTTTGCTGTTCCACAAACATTTACTACTCACTCCATGTCAATTCAATAAATCAATATTTTGTGATTCAGTTCGATCAATAGAGGATCTCAAATGATGACCGTGTGTGTGATATCGTATTTATTAAACGAGTTTAGTGATCTTCATAAATTCCGATCCTTTTGCGAGGAGCATATGTTAATAATTCACTGATAATGACTTCCTGAGATAATGTATAAGGCTAGATATACGAAAACAGGCGGATAAAACGATGTATATAATTTATGTCTTCATGCAATTATTCATAATTGATGAACTGTGATTGCTCTGACTGTTTGAAAGCGATTTGAGTATGGTAACGCACTGCTAAATACAATACAGGAAACATGGGATCTGAGGGATTCAAAGACATCATCTTGAGTGATTATAGTCCTTCTTGGAAGTTGCATAGAAAGATCGCACACCAAGCAATAAGGTAAACCCTTTGTCAGGTGTATATAACGTTGGTGTATGACATAGATGTAATGCCTTGAAATACTTGGTGATTTATCTGGTATCGTAGAACGACGTATCACAGCGTACACCCCCCCCCCAAAAAAAAACGTAGAATGAGAAGCTTGTCCGTGCAGTAGATCTAATCCATGAAAGGCAACTGCATACGTCAGGAGTAGATCATCTTTTGGGAAAATAATATAGGCATGTTGTAGATTTGTATAGTCATGTTTTATATTAAATGTAGATTCATATGAAAACTGTACATTAAATTAGGTTTGTTCAAATACGAATGTGCGTTTGCATTGCCAGTAATGAAGACACTTATTGCAACTTCAAAATATAATACAGGAAACGTCTCTGCCACTAAAAATGTCTATGCAGCATCAATGCATTATTTTAAATAGGTTTTCTACATTTTGCAAAAAAACTACTATGAATAGTAGAAGGATATTTCAGTCGTGATATAATTGTGATGAAATTCTATTTTCAGAAATTATGCCAGTGGTGATAAACTAGAAAACATGATGCGTAAAGACGCAATTCCTTTACTGACACAGATACTGGAAGACAATGAAGGAAAAGTTATTGCCCCAAGACCTCTTTTATTTTTAACTGTTAACAACATCGTTGCTCAATTCTGCTTTGGTCAAAAGTAAGTGTAATCGAATGTTTCAATTGTATCATTTTTGCTATGTATGAATCTTATACAGACAGAAAGTGTGCTCCAATTATCATGACAAGTTATAATGTCTGTGAAGAAATACAAATAATTATATCTAAAGCATTTTATCAGTAGTCGTTTTATTAATGTCTAGGTATACACTCGATGACCCAGAGCTTAAAGCCTTCATGGACATTATAGACGATTTTGCCAAAATAGCTGGCAATGGCTTAGTAGCCGACGTGATTCCATGGACAGCAATTTTTCCAACTTCGGCTGCCCGGGAAATGGACAAAGTCAATAACAAATATCTTGGTATGATTTACAAGAAGTTTTACGAACATAAGCAGAAATTTGATCAAGGTATTTGCAATTAACTTGTACTTTTTTAAACATGATTTTGTGTGTGTATTGAAATAACTATTTGAAAGAATCAATGGAACATTCTGAGAAGCATTTTATAGATTGTATTACTTAAATAATTGTTCACAACATGTATATATATGAATGCATATTTTATTGCACTTAACGTTTTATGTATTTCTAGATAATTTGAATGACCTCATTGACTATTTACTCGATGCTCAACGCCAAGCCAAGGAAGAAAATGCCGACAACATTAGTAGCCTTACAGATACACATTTGGTGCAAACAGTTTCTGACATGTTTGGAGGTTGGTCAATAAATGCCCCACATTGTGTGAATTGTAAAATCATAAATGATCTATTTTATCACATTATTATCATTTGATCTATATACAATGTACTAATACTTTATATACATATTATCCACAGCTGGTATTGATACGACTACACATACAATGGATTGGTCAATCATCTTCCTCACTCGATACCCGGATGTACAGGCTAAGGTTGCTAGGGAAATCCATGACGTAATTGGAAGAGACAGGCTGCCCTTAATATCAGACCGACCCAATCTACCATACTGCGATGCAGTTATCCACGAACTGATGAGAATACGTACTGTTGTACCGATGTCTGTTCCACACAAAGCATTGGTGGACTCAAGTATTGGTAATATATTCTATTATAATAATTAATTATCACTATTAAATTGACAAATTTTGGACTTGCACAGCAATCAATATTTAACTGCAATTTAACTGCGTTGTTGTTTGTTGACTTTAGGTGGATATGTGATACCTAAAGATACATGGGTAATGGTTAATCTATGGGCTGCGCAGATGGATGAAAAACACTGGGATAACCCGCAAGTGTTTAGACCAGGTATGTGCACTGTATAAGATAAATATGGGGTTGCTTCATATGCAAAGTTTATATTTTCATTCACACTGACTGTTACATTTCATATTTTTATTAAATATTAATTTTACAATATCTATTCTATCTAGTATATATGGCGATGTTTACCACATAAAAAACAAATAAAATGTAGATCCATTACCATTATTATTTATATCATATGAATTACTTAACGATATTTATCTGTACATTTCAGAGAGATTCATTGATAAAGACGGCTCACTCAAAGCAAAACAAGACAACTTCATTCCATTCTCAGCGGGTCGTCGTGTCTGTCTTGGGGAGTCCCTAGCGAAGCCAGAGATATTTCTGATGTTCACTTCTTTGTATCAAAGTTTCGCGTTTTCACCAGTACCCGGTAAAGAACTGCCCAGTCTCGACGGAAATGCTGCGACGCTCGTTCTTAGAGCGCCTGAATATGAAGTAGTAGTTAAAAAGAGAATATAGTCGCAGCGTTTACTTTGGTTCAGTTTTATTATTATCAAAATAATACACGTGTTTATAGATTAATAACTTCTCGATTTATGAAAATATATGTACATATCGGTGAATGGAAAGATGGTGTAATATATACAATGAACATATAAAAGCTGTTGACTGTTATGATAATATGAAACCAATTTGCTGTTATGGCATTTAGAATTTGTGTGCATTTACAGGCAATATAAGTAAAGATAATAAAATCTAAAAGGTGAATAAAGAACTATTACTGATCGAATGTTAAAAAAAATACCCAGAAGAAGACAGAAGTGTATGGTCAGCCCACGGTTAGTAACCATGGTTAGTTTAAACATTGCCTATCTACGAGTCGGTGCTATTGTGTGTATATCTAGTGGTCGTCATGTCAACGTCTCTTTTAGCATTGCTGGTGTAAAACTGAATCTCGTCCTTTTAACTACCGTGTCGAACTTACGTCGACGTAACATTTTCTAGAGAGAACACGGTATACAGTATAGCATAGAAACATGGGCAGGAAATAAAAATATCGGCTTCGCCTATATAAGCACGTTGATCGAGGCAATGACCGCAGATCTGCTGAACTAAATCTAGTACGCGCGATTGGTTTCCATATGCCTGTGACTTCTGCCATACTGACCCGGTCGTATAAATAATTTCCTGGCTATGAGACAGTGTAGAAACGCTGGTCGTCGCACATAATTCTCACAATTCACACATATTTATAATATCGCATGTTTTATATGGTCGCAATAAATTTGATACATTTTCACCTTTAGAATCTGTGGCAAAAAAAAATGGCAGGTTTACACATTACATTGAAGAACTAATTAATTGAATCGAATTTACACTCCCCTTACTCCTGTTTATACTACTACTATACAGCCACAATAAAAATACCCAATCAAGATGAACGGCGTACATCATGACCACGTGAGAATCCGTCACTAACATTTTCATATACTAGTACTACGTTAAATCGTGCAGACAAGACTCAAATGAGGCAGTAGTGCGAAGGTTTGCCATGTACCGTTAAAATAGCACGTCACAAAACAAATTCAAAGTGTGCATGTGACCTGGTTTGACCCCACTGGGATGACTCATCGTTGTATGATTTGTCTGGTGCTATAAAAGCCCTGATCTCATTACGAATCAGTCACTTGCCGTTATTACTACACCAACAGCCTTACAGGTACGTGTTATGCGTTATGATATGCTCTATAAATGGTGGTATGTTGTAAATACGATAATTCATGATATGTTATGTGAAACACACTTGAATTGTGATAACATTCAGTTTATAGCACAGTGGGACACGTAGTTGGTTTTGAGTGTACTCATGAGTTGTGCAACAAGGTGTATGGTTAGATTCACATACAACACGTAATACTGTACTGAGAGTGGTTATTGCACTGTACCGTGCTAGACTGTACACATCTAACAATTGTCTGTGTATAAACAGCAACGACTGTACAGCGGATGGACAACACATCTGCCGTACAGGCGTGACCTACAAACGGTGACATTGTGCTTGTAAATAAGTTCATGGTTCATCTGTAAACGTAGTCGTCTAGATTGCTATTGAAAAAATCAATCCGTGTAGGGATAATCAAAGTTGTTAATCACTGACCATAGGAGGTCGTGTTTAAATTTCGTTTCCAAACACCTGTATTTAATTGACTTGTGATTGTTTGGTCCCTCAAGTGAATTGTGCTTTAATTGTACATCGACCAGTTTCTGGTATATCTCGGCTTCTAGTGAAGTAAGTCTCGCCAAATTAGGACAGAATATTGGTGAAATCATGATATGAATCCAGTCTGTATAGGGTAATTCATAATTTGGCAACCATGAACAGTTGTTGAGATGAAAATAATCCCTTCATACTTTGACAGTATTTGTTCTATTGTTGTCTCCTTGTAATTATATGAAAGTGTCCAGTTCTATGTTGTGCGTTGTGGGGGTATACAAACGTCAGACGTAGACTAAGTTTAACCATTGTCACTCAACGTGTTGACTACAGTTTATTCAACATCGAACACTGGAACATACTATCAGGATACAAGCTGAAGAAATACATACTCTTCCTTGTCTGTTTTAAAATCGAACGTGAAAGGAAACACATGAAGTCTAAATAGCGCGGGAACTTCATATAATTAGTATATCTGTAGGCCAAATTACTATACAATGATTGGTTAATTCTAAAACAATGCGTCGTTGTGAATGGCTCTATAATTGCCATGGTAACATGTATAAGTTATTTGATCTTCTGATTTCGGCAAAGAATCAGACTGACGGGTATAAAAGGGAAGGTTCACTCCAAGTTTACATTATCGTGACAATCACCATGTGGTACGGACGTGCGCTTAGGCACATGGAATTTCAGTGAAATAAAAACGATAACGTTCTCGGACATGCGTCATGATCTACACATGGCGGTATGTTGTATATACGATAATTCATGATATGTTATGTCAAACACATTTGAATTGTGCTAACATTCAGTTTATAGCACAGTGGGACACGTAGTTGGTTGTGAGTGTACACGCGAGTTGTAAAACAAGGTGTATGGTTAGATTCACATAAAACACGCAATACTGTACTGAGCGTGGTTATCGCACTGTACCGTGCTAGACTATATACATCTAATGATTTGTGTGTGATGTATTATTGTATGAACAGCAGCGACTCTGCTTTGGGTCGACGCCACCTCTGTCGTACAGACGTGACCTACAAGCGGTGACAATGTACTTGTAAATAGGGTCGGGTTAAAATCGGTAGGTTCATGGGTTCACGTAGGCGCAGTTGTCTAGATTACTATTGAAAGAATCAATCCGTGTACGGATAATCGAAGTTGTTAATCAGTGACCATAGGAGATCGTGTTTAAATTTGGTCCCCGGACACATGTATTTAATTTGATTTGTGATTGTTCGGTCCCTTAAGTGAATTGTGCTTTTATTGTACATCGACCAGTTTTCGGTATATCTCTGCTTCTAGTAATTATACAGAAGTAAATCGCACCACGTTAGGGCAAAACATTGGTATAACAATCAGTGAAATCATGATATGAATCCAGTCTGTATAGGGTAAATCATAATTTGCAACCATGCACAGTTTTTGAGATGGAGATAATCACTCCATACTTTGACAGTATTTGTTCTATTGTTTGCTCATTACGATGTAATTATATGCAAAGAGATAATGCTTCACTGTGGCGTACGTCTTGCCAAGGGAACGGGAATTTATTTAGAGAAGCTCAAATTATGTGTTACTCGATAAGCATGTTATTCTTTCCCATGATCTATTTTTAGTAGTACCATTAATCGTTTTTTTCGAAACTACGATATTTATTATCGCAACTGACGATTTAATAGTTACAATTCTATGACACCCCAACAATATACGTTAACTATTTACAATGTGGTTATTGCTCTACAATGTAAGAACACCCTCAATAATTTCAGTGTTTCACCAACCCCAACTATTGTATAAGTAATAAGTTTCAACATGTTCGCCAAACTAGCACTAACTCTGGCTAAATACACTATAATACTCAACCAATGATTGAATCACAGAATGAATCACTCCGCAAAGCAAATGTCCCATATTTAATCACCATGTGTAGTTGTGCTGACGATTTGATTTTGTTTTCTCTACAGACTCGCATTAAAGTATATTGACAATCCACACTGTAATCATGTTGCTGGAAAGCATATTATCTGTTAGTCTGACGTACAAATTGATAGCGGTTGTCGTAATCCTATTGGGTGCCCTAATGCTATGGAGCATCCATCGACCATCTGGTATGCCCCCTGGACCACGTGGTTTTCCAATTATTGGTAGTATGCTATGTAAGTATCATGGTTTCAATAATTAAGATAAAAGTTGATATCAGTTTCTGTGTAGAAATAAATAAAAATAAATAAAAATAAATAAATAAAATTAATTAATTATTTATTTAAAAGTACACACTTTACGTTGAATAATGTTAAACACATAGTTGGTCAACTGTCCTACATTTTGTCCCCATCATTTTCGCATTTACAAAACCAATTCATATCCTTTTATGTACATGAGAAAATCACAAGTATATAATCAATGAATTTTACGAAATTAGATTGGACGTTATTACCTATGTTTTGTGTACAGCTGAGTATAAATAGCGCCCCGATGGAATAAACATTTCACTGGTTATTGCTTGTGTAGCTTCGTACATATATACATTGGACTTTCTCGATGACGTGCCTGCTATATTCATCATGCATCCATATATGAATGGTAAAAAACACTGGTGAATTTGCCTGTTTGAATACACTCAATTCATCCAAAGTACTAAACTTTACAGCTTTGACTGAGAACCTATACCTAGACTTTTTGCAATTGGCTAAGGAGTACGGAGATGTATTTACCATTAAGATAGGCAGTCGCCACGTGGTAATAGTGAATAACTATGAACTGATCAAAGAAACATTGTTGAAAAGGTCGACTGATTTCGCCGGGAGACCACAAACTTTTACAGGTAAGAATAATGTAAATTGGCAGAACATACCACAATCGTTTTTGATATTTCGCTGTTCCACAAACTTTTACTGCTAACCCCATGCCAATTCAATAAATCAATATTTTGTGATTCACTTCGATCAATAGATGATCTAGAATGATGGCCGCGTGTGTGATATCGTATTTATTGAACGAGTTTAGTGATCGTCATAAATTCCGAGCTTTTGGCGAGGAGCATATGTTAATAATTCACTGACAATGACTTTCTGAGATAATGTATAAGGCCAGATAATACGAAAACAGGCGGATAAAACGATGTATATAATTCATGTTTTCATACAATTATTCATAATTGATGAACTGTGATTACTCCGACTGTTTGAAAGAAATTTGAGTCTACTAACGCACTGCTAAATACAATGCAGGAAACATGACATCTGAGGGATTCAAAGACATCGTCTTTAGTGATTATAGTCCTTCTTGGAAGTTGCACAGAAAGATCGCACACCAAGCAATAAGGTAACCATAAACCTTTTTTCGGGTGTATATGACTTTGGTGTATGACATAGGTGCAAAGCCGTGAAATACAAAATTTATCTGTTATTTGGAACGACGTATCAAACAATACCCCCCCCCCAGAAAAAACGTGTAGAATAACAAGCTTCCCTATGAAAGGCAACTGTATACGTCAGCAGTAGATCATCTTTTGGGAATATACAATATGCATATTGTAGATTTGTGTTGTCATGTTTTATATTAAATGTAGATTCATATGAAGACTGTAGATTAAGGTAGATCTGTACAAAGACGAATGTCTGTTTGAATTGCCAGTAATGAAGACACTTATTGCAACTTCAAAATATAATACAGGGCAATTTCAGATAGTTTCAAATAAGCCTCTGCCACGAAAAACTGCCTATGCAGCATTCAATGCATTTAAAAAAAATAAGTTTCCACCATTTTGCAAATAATCTACTATAGATTGTAGATGGATATTGCCATTTTATTTTCAGAAATTATGCCAGTGGCGATAAACTAGAAAACATGATGCGTAAAGACGCAATTCCTTTACTGACACAGATACTGGAAGACAATGAAGGCAAAGTTATTGCCCCAAGACCTCTTTTATTTTTAACTGTTAACAACATCGTTGCTCAATTCTGCTTTGGTCAAAAGTAAGTGTACTCAAATGTTTGAATTGTATTGTCTTTGCTATATACGAATCTCATACAAACAGAAAGTGTGCTCCAATTATCATGACAAGTTATAATGTCTGTGAAGAAATACAAATAATTATATCTAAAGCATTTTATCAGTAGTCGTTTTATTAATGTCTAGGTATACACTCGATGACCCAGAGCTTAAAGCCTTCATGGACATTATAGACGATTTTGCCAAAATAGCTGGCAATGGCTTAGTAGCCGACGTGATTCCATGGACAGCAATTCTTCCAACTTCGGCTGCCCGGGAAATGGACAAAGTCAATAACAAATATCTTGGTATGATTTACAAGAAGTTTTACGAACATAAGCAGAAATTTGATCAAGGTATTTGCAATTAAATTGTACACTTTTATACATGATTTTGTGTGTGTATTGAAATAACTATTTGAAAGAATCAATGAAACATTCTGAGAAGCATTTTATAGATTGTATTACTTAAATAATTGTTCACGACATGTATATATATGAATGCATATTTTATTGCACTTAACGTTTTATGTATTTCTAGAAAATTTGAATGACCTCATTGACTATTTACTCGATGCTCAACGCCAAGCCAAGGAAGAAAATGCCGACAACATTAGTAGCCTTACAGATACACATTTGGTGCAAACAGTTTCTGACATGTTTGGAGGTTGGTCAATAAATGCCCCACATTGTGTGAATTGTAAAGTCATAAATGATCTATTTTATCACAATATTATCATTTGATCTATATACTAATACTTTATATACATATCATCCACAGCTGGTATTGATACGACTACACATACAATGGACTGGTCAATCATCTTCCTCACTCGATACCCGGATGTACAGGCTAAGGTTGCTAGAGAAATCAATGACGTAATTGGAAGAGACAGACTGCCCTTAATATCAGACCGACCACATCTACCATACTGTGATGCGGTTATCCACGAACTGATGAGAATACGTACTGTTGTACCGATGTCTGTTCCACACAAAGCATTGGTGGACTCAAGTATTGGTAATGCATTATATTATAATAATTAATTATCACCATTAAATTGACAACTTTTGGACTTGCACAGCAATCGATGTTTAACTGCAAATTAACTCCGTTATTTTTGTTGACTTTAGGGGGATATGTGATCCCTAAAGATACATGGGTAATGGTTAATCTATGGGCTGCGCAGATGGATGAAAAACACTGGGATAATCCGCAAGAGTTTAGACCAGGTATGTACACTGTGTAAGATAAATATGGGGTTGTTTAACTCGGGATGCTATTGTATCAGATATTGTTCATATACAAAGTTTATATTTTCATTCAGACTGACTGTTACATTTCACATTCTTATTAAATATTAATTTTACAATATCCATTCTATCTAGTATATATGGTGATGTTTACCACATGAAAAACGATTAAAATGTAGATCTATTACCATTATTATCTGTATCACATGAATTACTTAACAATATTTATCTGTACATTTCAGAGAGATTCATAGATAAAGACGGCTCACTCAAAGCAAAACAGGACAACTTCATTCCATTCTCAGCGGGTCGTCGTGTCTGTCTTGGGGAGTCCCTAGCGAAGCCAGAGATATTTCTGATGTTCACTTCTTTGTATCAAAGTTTCGCGTTTTCACCAGTACCCGGTAAAGAACTACCCAGTCTCGATGGAAATGCTGCGACGCTTGTTCTTAGAGCGCCTGAATATGAAGTAGTAGTTAAAAAGAGAATATAGTTGCAGCGTTTACTTTGGTTCAGTTTTATTATTATCAAAATAATGCACGTGTTTATAGATTAGTAACTTCTCTCATGAAAATATATGTACATATCGGTGAATGGAGAGATGGTGTAATAAATAACAATGAACATATAAAAGCTGTTGACTGTTAAGATAATGGGAAACCAATTTGCTGTTATGGCATTTAGAATTAGTGTGCATTTACAGGCAATATAAGTAAAGATAATAGAATAAAAAAAATGTTTTTTCATCGTCCGAGAGAAATTTGAAAAAAAAATGGTACAGTGGTGCGGTTTTCTTGTTTTTGTATTAAAATTGTGCTCAGAAACAAGGTGTATCTTTTAAACGTTTTTAGTAAATATTTTTTTCGAAGACATACTTAAAAGCGTGAATCATTAACGGTGGGTCAACAAAATATCCTCTGAAATATAACAAACAAAACATTTTGAGGTCTATCTTAATATATGACTCACTTTGCCGGTACGCGTGTTTGCAAAACACAATATATGAGATGTATGTTTCAAACATACGTGCGCGATAACGAATACAATTATTGCTGTCAGAAACAAACTTACCCCTCGCTGACATACTAAAAGCTTGGGAAGTAGAGAAAGGAATTAGTTGTTGGTGTTTTTATAGCGGATACAATATATTCTAATTAATGACCGACAACATTCCTTCAAGAAAGTGAACAAAGATCAAACTTTTTGAATTGTGACTGAAATAATATTTTTCATTTGCCCGTCTATATTAACAGTGGGCCTAAGCTTGTAGTATTCCAATGGAAAAACCATAATATTCGCTGTACAAACTAGATGTTATTTCGTATGAAACTTCCTTGTGTACTTTCAGAATTGTGTACTTTCAACAGTAATGTTGTAACTATATTACATCTCTTTACTTACTGCGAATTTGTTAAAGTCCTACCGACAGCATTTATAAATCTGCGGTGAATATTTACATATTCCACCCAGGCTAACGGATAAGAAAAAAAAATGAAAATGTTAACATCTCATTACTACTTAAAATACACCATTTATGTATGTTGTTTTAAAGGCTGCCTCCCCACTTACTATACAGTTCGAATGAAAACAGAAAAATCTCAAGTAGAACTTTATATAGCAAAAAACATAACATGCTGGATAGAAAAATTTAAAAATTGGAGTTTACAAAACGTACTATAAAGGGTCCTACACCGTTGTTTCTCGCCAAAGATTGCATGCTCTACGATAGCGACTCCAGAGGAAATAAAAAAACCTAAAGCGGGTCAATGTTGAGTCAACATATACGTAATTAAAACTTAATTGGTGCATTCTAATTTGTTCATGCTCTATTGATTTATATTGCCATTCAGTAATGGGTGCGTCAATAGATTCATTTACATTTGTATTTTATATATTTGCATACTGATAACAACGATAATGATAAAGAATACAACTTATTACAGATTTAGCTTCTTAGCTTCAGTTCGGATGCAGTCAGAAAACGGGCCGGGACTTACAGATTGATCGCCGTGAATCTATGCCTGTGTGCATATGTGCCCACCTCTATCTCGGACATGCCTGGGCCAATCACATTCAAACTTTACACATACAACACCATACATTTGGAATACATTTGTTTGACGATCAGATTCAAGATGGCTGAATTGCGGCCATTTCAAACTTAACATTTATCAGAATCAAGTATTTCTGACATTCCGGACCCAGATCTCGATTATACATGAACAGCTATTGACAATCTTGGTACATACAATGAACATATATATGTATGTAACGGGCCATATTTTTTCAGATCGGATTCAAAATGGCCGTATGCGAATGCTGTTCTAGAGCCACGACTCTGACATACATTGACTGGTCGCAATAAAACTACATGCCATGAAATGTAAGCAAGAAATAGAAACTTGTATTTGTTCTTACTTGCAAAGGAAAATACTTACTCTCTTACTTCCTTACTCTCGTGTAATTTGTTTTATGATCTGAATCAAAATGGCTGACTCGTTTCTCTGTCATGTAATGGCATGACTTGTTTTTATTTGGTAAAGAACAAATTCATTATCAATGTGATACATAGTAGGTGTTAAACAAAAAACTGCCGTCCGGGAAAACGTGCATTTGCATCATAAAATGATATTACAAGCTTAATTTAAACGAACGGTCAATAATTTTCGGTCATTTTGGCTACGAGAGTATGAGTAGGAAGTACTGGTGAAAATAGAAAATAATCTAATAATTGTGATGCATTCATACAGCCATCCCTGTCTAATTCTCGAATTGTAATATTATCTAAATTGATTTGAATATTTAAAATATTAATTCCTCTTTAAAACATATATCATATAAGTTTTATTTGTTATTTTTTTCTATGCCAGTGTTAAAACCATTAGTTGAAATATATTATCGTCACTTTACAAAAAAACCATCAATACTCATATTTACCAAATTAACAGATTTGATTAATATTGTGGCGAAAAATTACAAATGGATAATTCTTACAGTGTTTCTGATGTGTGAATGAATTACACACACAGTTGTGTATTGATACTGTGGTCAGCCTCACGACACGTGTTTGTTTTCAGGTATAGGAGTAAAGTCACTGTGGCATGTGTCAGCATAATTTCGGAATCATACATCCTGGGCTGAGATTAGTGAAAACAACAAAGAAACAAACAAACAAACAAATTAATGTAGCTTCACATTATTTCATCATTATTTGGTCACTATTTCATAATTTTAACAGTGTTATGTCATGTGTTAGTCATTTGTACATGGTTTCAACATTTGTACTGTGTTATTAATAATATTATTATACGTCTGTCACCGTAACGCCATGAGTTACACCATGTCGTAATTTTGCGGTATTGCGCTGGGTATTTTCATCCTACCATATTAGAAAACGCGCATTCCAAATATGGAACGATTACGCGTGGAAGCGTTCCCTAATAAAAAACAAACATGATGGCTGCCCCAGGGTTTGACCTGACCCCACACAAATAAGTTCGCTAAATCAGTTCTAAACGCATTCTAATGATAAATTCCTGGGAGGAAAAGATGTATAATAATAACTGCGCATCTGTCGATACTCCGCTGTACTGTCCTCGTGCATAATTTGCTGTAACCTCGTAATAAACTCATACTATTAGAAAATACTACCCTGACATTCCATTCCAATATGCATAGCGCCATCTATGGCGATTTGTGTGAACCGGAAGAACGATAACAAGTTAAGTGCAGTTCAAATTGAGGAAGTGGCTCTGCGGTTTGTTGCGTGAACGTTGTGGCTCTAACCTCGCAGATTTCGTTGAAATGGTGGTAATTGGACCCTGGCGATAATATGGTATGATATTGCAAGTAAGTATTCAACTAACTCTTCTATTGTCTGAGTACACTATCATGGCAACATCACAGTCAGTTTCCTGGCGTATGTGATCATAACAATTAAGAAATGTTGAATTGTTACGGAAATCGAGTAACGAACATCAAGTTGCCAAAAATGAGTTACAAAAATGACCACGCCCATAATCATCGAGCAGGTTACTATTCAGTTTCAGTGAAGTCATCGATGTCATGCTTGTTCGTTTTTAAAAAAAAATCTGTATATTACAGGTGGTTGTTACTTTAGTAGTTACTTACATTCGGTTCGAAGACATACGAGCCCATGACATCACCTGTATTATAGCGGGCGCAAGATATTTGCATACACTTAGGGACGACGTCAAAAGATCGATGTCGGATAAAAAACTTATTTCCTTTAGTTTGGGGGTGGGGGGTTTTGACCTAAAAAAGTTTCCATCCTACAAAAACGATTTTATTTTTTAATGAAGTCAAAAAAATCTTGGAGTATTTGTAGTTCTATCCAATCATGGACAGAAATAACCGAAAAGGGGAAAAAATACAGAAAAATGGTTTGGTTCGAGTGTAAATCTGTGCGTCAAATGAGGTGCATTTGTAAACTCTTTTTACACTCACCCGACAACCAACTGCTATGCAATACTATTGTCCGATTATCAATTTGTATTTAATGGTGAATGTAGTCTGACGCCATGACCAATATTTATCAATTAAGTTTCAGTGGGGGGTAGGGGGGTTTGGGAAAAAACTAAAGGAATTAAGTTTTTTATCCGACATCGATCTTTTGACGTCGTCCCTTAACTCCCGCACCCGGTAGTCAATAAATTCTTGCAATACATACCTGCTCACGTGACACTTAATCAAAACACCAGACGCGGTATTCCTTTGAAGTGTGGCAACAGGGGACAGAGGGTACTTGGAATATTCCATTGCTTTTTAGGTACAAAAATCATTGCTGTGTAACACTTGGGAGAAATATAATACGAACATTAAACTGGGAATAAATAATAACAAGCAATGATAAATGTAAATTGTTTTGATTGGTAGTTTGTTGAGATAATAATATTAGCGTTGTGAGTGTCGTTCGATTTCTGGCATAATGGATGGTCCAGTTTGCCAGAACAAGTCGTCCAGTCAATCTTTCCCTGGAATCTTCTACTTAGTTTCACCTCCACACCTCTTGTGCAACCTTCGGTCGACAACGGCCGCTACTCCTCTCGGAATGGATCCAACCGAAGTGACAGAAATGATGCATAATTCCTTGAACCGTGCGTTGCCCTCGCTAGTCCAACTTTAACTAGGTTTATTATTTTCGCCAGAGTTGTGGAGGGACTGTGTTTTCGCGAAAGGTTCAAAATAAAATTTATTAAATGAACGAGCATATGTATGTATGCATGAAATAATAAATTCCGATATTAAGAATGAGTAAAACTAGCTCCCCGAATGATCAGCGGAAGGAGGCCAACCTACAGGACTGTACTCAGGACTAGAGTAAAACATGATTGTTTGATGAATGTTTGACTGTGGACACTTACATGATGTAATAGTTGAATCCATCTGAAACCTTGGTCTGTTGTTTTAATTAACTGTCACGTAGCGGGTATGTAATGTACGTCTACAACGATAACTGAATCGTCTAGAAAAATGAATGGATAGTCTATTCATATAACCAACGTTGCATGAAAATGGGGAAGGTTAAAAAACTGGTTTTCATGGGCTCTATTGAGATTCAGGGTTTGTTTTAGAAAAAAAATTAACAAGAGAGAGCACACACAGGCGAGGAAGCGGAGCGACCAAGCCTGGGGGGGGGGGGTTACTATACTGACTATAGGGTGTGGAAAGTTTCGTAAGGTTTCAGCGCCGTTTTAACAGTAGGCTATCGCCATTGAAATAGTTTTGGAGTAATTTCAGTGTATTTGGTGTCCATAAACATTGTCAGCTGGTGTTGCTGGGAATTTTTCACGGAGAAAAATATATTTGAGAAAGATTTCATGTTGTACGGCAGCACGGAATTGCGTGGCTCAAGAAATATATTTATAACTTGAAAGTTCAATTGTCAATCCGGTAGAGGGCGCCAACCGAGAGTATGAGGCCGCTGTGCCCCTGTTCCCCGTTTAGAAAAAACCCTGGAGAAGACACGAGCCCCCCCCCCCCAAAAAAAAACACACACAACAACAACAACAAACGCCCTCTAGTGTTATATTTTTTTTAGTCCTTAATTCTTTGCAAATCCAATATGGAGTTAACACATTTCTCTCCTGCATTTGAGATTAAAATAGAACCAGTTTTCATTTTTCTATTTAGAGTTACTACAATGTGCGAGACCAAAAACACTGTTTTGATTATTGGAACAAAATGGCTGCCAGGAAGTGGAGAGCTTACAGTCCCAGCAATTCAAAAAGAAATTGGAATAATGTTTGTAAAGAATGGTAGAAAAGTGTTATGTACAGTACTGGATGCAACAGAAGAAGAGAAAAATGATGCTTTACATCATGGAATTGATCTCCTTCTGCCGATTATAAAACATCGTTTAAAGTGCAAAAACCCTACCACAGACTGGCTTATTTTGCATGAATCATATTTTCCATCTCTTCAGAACCGATCCGATATAGGCTTAATTATTGGCCATGCCACTATCAATGGAACGGCAGATGCAGCAAGATGCATTCAGTCTGAAGTTTTCCCAGCATGCAAATTTGTCAATTTATTTTACACCATCCCAGAAGATACAAGAACGACACCCGAGATGGTTCAAGAAGCGGAGAAAGAAATGTTAGAGTGTGCAAAATATGCTGATCTTGCTGTTTCATTAGGTCCTCGAGTGTGGAGGCATTACAATAACAAGTTTCGGATTTTCAAAACTAAGGAACACATTCAGTATATTCCATTTGTTGATGATAATATAGCAAAGTTGGAAACCACTTGCTCAAGTCTAGAAAATGGAATTGAAATTTTGTCTGTTCATCCCAATGTAGATGAAAACTGCCTTTTGGGATATACCAGAGTGGCTCATGCTTTAGCGCAGGTTGCAAAATCTTACAAATATGATGTTGTCAAACCAGTCTGGAAATTTATAGGATACCAATCATCTGAATTGAACTGTGATCAGTGTATTAATTACTTGAAGTCAAGTTCAAGACCCATAGGTATCAATTTCTACCCACCCCTGGCTTCCCTTGAAGATCTCCGTACTGATTTTCATCAATGTCAACTTGTTGTTTTTGCACCAGAATCTGACCCATTTGGTTTAATTGCATTAATGGCCAGCATTGCAGGTGTACCATTCCTAACTACCAGTCATTGCGGTTTTGCAGATTTTCTTTTGATGAACTTTCCAGACATTGCTGATAACTTTATTGTACAGGTCGATAATAATGAAGTCGATGTTTGGGAAGGCAAATTGATGGGGGTTGTGAGAAGGTATCAGATTGCATATGACAAAAGCCAACGATTAAAGGGTATACTCATACAGAGTGCCACAAATGGAGTGATTGCTGAATCACATGCACGCTTTCTGGAATGGTGTTGTTCGTATGTGTGTGAGGTTTCAAACACTACAAAAGGTAAACAACTTCTGTCAAAATACTGTAAAAATAAAGGAAATTACAAAAAAGTATATATCACTGCACCACCAAAAACAGGGACTTATGCACCTACAATGATTATATGTCTTATGCATACTTTGAGTAATTCACTTCAAACTTTATACATACAGTACCATATAGTATATGTAAGCACGAATGTTGTCACCATATTAAAAATGGCCAGCTGCTGATCATTTTAGTTGTAAAAATACATTAAAATCATATATTTTGACATGTCGTGGTGCGAATTAGATGCCTAAATTTGAATTCAGCATGAACTTTCTTAGAGCTAGTATATATACATGTATACTAATAAATGTTATGTATATTTTATATTTCCCTTCATATCAAACAAAAGAATACTATATTTTTACAGTGTTTAACATCATAATTACACAATAAATACTGCATTGCAAAATGTTTGCTTTTTAACATCTCAAGTCTAGAAACACTTAGTTTTGTGTCTAACACTTGTGTACTTTTCAAGGGATCAGCTCACAAATGCAAGGAAATCCTCATCCAACCATTCAATCTGAATCCGAGCTGCAGCCACAACCGAAGAAGCGTAAAAGACAGCCAGGTAAATATACCTATGCCATATTTTGTGAGATGGTTAGGAAATGCTATTGCATTCTGCTAACTGATAGATGTCCTCTACCAGAGATAAAAACACAACATAATAAAACAATGGGCATGAGACAAAAAGTGTTATAACTTATTATAATTCTATGCAACAGGTGAGCTTGAAATTGAAGTGAATGTGGATTCATTTGAAGAGACGGAAGCTCAGAGAGTTAGACAGATCAAAGCACAGACATTATCTGATATTGCTCGCTGCCTCTTCAGTAAAGTCAAAACAATTGACGAGGTCCCAGCTATGAAGAAGCACCTTGATGACATTGGTGATATCATCTGTAAACACATTGACCATAAATGTCTGGTTGTTGTCGTAGAATGCCTGTCATTATCAGCTCTGAAGCGACTGTGGCAGGACTACAAAGTGGAGAAAATCAATTCTATCCTTCAGGAGGACATTGTTTCAGAAGATGTTTTGAGAGAATGTGGTGCTTCTAAGATTGTTTTGACAACTACAATTGAGAGATGGCAATATCGTAAATGTTGCTTGGAACTACAAGAAGGTAATAATATATTTTTTGAAAATTCTTACCTATGAATTATTTATCACTTACTGTAGAATACTTTATTTTTGCTTGGAATTTATTTTCGCTATTTTCGCTGAAGGGATGATTCCGTGAAAATAAAATCCAGCGAATATACTTTTTTTCCTATATTTCACATTAAACTCATCAGAAATCAGTGAAAATGAATTCCATACAAAACGCCTAAAAAGCCTTTTCAGCGAAAATTAATTCAAGCGAAAATAAAGTATTCCACAGTATTCTAAGTTGTATGACATTTCTCTTTTTCTTTTTGGGCACAAGTACAGATTTGAGAACTAAAGCTTGATTGATTTATATCAAAATATAAAATAAAAATCGTTTGAGTTCTCAGAACCACAAGCAAGCATAATAACAACAACGTGAACAGAATACTTGCAATGATACTGTATCTTTCATTTCATTACTGCCAAGGCAATAATTACGATTGGACCTAGCAAATTCCTGGCCCCCACAAATTACATGATGTAAATAATAATATGTCTTGTGGTCGGCCTGATAGCTTTAATGATCATAAGCCATCTTGACTTTATATTAGCTACATCTGACAATAAATAAATGAAATGTATTTTGTTGTAGGTAAATTGTTGGGAGATGAGAGTACCGAGACATGTGGTATCTGTGGGTCAAAAAAGACGTCAACTCAACTGACAGATGTACTGGTAATTACAGCTTATTCATGACTATTATTGGAGATATATTTTTAGTCCCCGTCGAGTGTAATCCAAAACAGTTACTTATGTTTTAAGCTCAATCTACCTGTCTGACTACATTTCTTTGACATGCCTGACTGAACGTCTTGACAAAATTAGCTTGACATATTCTTTCTTCTCCCTCAAATGTCAACTTGGCCAAACTTGGACTTTGACAATGACTTAAGTATTGCTTGAGCACTACCACACGTTATTTCCAATATTGGCTCTGAATTACTCGAGAAAAACATTAATGTGTTCAAGTAGTTCGGGTCACAATCTGTGACAATGCGAATAGTATTACGATCCAGATCTTTGCTTTGAAATATGCAAATATTTGATGATGAATTCTGTTTAACATACAATTTTATTTTGTTAATTCACTGACCTAAAAATTGTTGAACTTAAACTTGTTATATCAATTTAGCTTTCTTGCCAAGTTTCAATCTGTGTAAAATTCAATTTTACTGTGCCCAATTCTGGAATATTTACAGTAGCTAGCTGAATTGTCCAAGACTTCATGTTGGCAATATTATCTCTGGATTTTGAGTATGTTTTGTTGATCATTAATATAATTTGACCCAGTGTAAAAAAATATTGGTTGTTGTGGATCAAAATAGGAAAATGATATCACAGTTGCTCATATGATAAGACCTGTTATATTTTCTGGTGATGGCCAAGATTGAATAAAGGCTTTTACAAATTTTCCCATTTCCTCAAATATACTCTTGTTTTTGAAGAACACTAATTGCATTTTTGAGGCAAATCAGTTGTTTAATTCAAAATTAATTAACAATGATAAAATTTGGCAAGAAATTGCTGTAATTTTGCTATGAAAGGGTTTAAGAAAGTTAGAACTTGCACTTGATACATTGAGTGCCATCAGTTTACCCGCAGTATGTTGGTGCTGCATGTTGTACATTTTTTTAATCTAATTGTTATTATTATATGATGCAGAAACTACATCAGTTCATGCAGAGACCGATAATGACAAAGACGATATTAACAAGTGAAACCCATAGTTCCTCTATAGTGAGAGAGGCACTGTGGGCAACATCAGGTACAAGTAAATAAACTACATGGACAAAGAAAATCTTGGTGGTACTGTGAATATTACCTTTTCTATACGTTGCATTCTGAAGGAGGGTGGTCGGTTGGTCGGTCGGCCTATCTGATGATGCTCTAGGACAGTGCACAGATTTGAATAGTTTTGAGTTAAAATCTGTGCATATTAATTACCTGACTTGCATAATTTGTATTTTTCAACTTTTCTTCAGACTATTTACGTGGATTGCCTGGATAATTGACTACTTAATCAGAGAATACAGATCACAAAACAAATTGCATATCAAGTGCCTGTCAATCATGTAGTAATGTAATAAGTTGGAAAGAATTTTTTGTCTGAAAAATGATGTTGGATGACACATGGATGGACTAACAAAACTCGTATTAATAGACTCAAACTATTAGTCTTGTAGTTTACTGATAATAACAATTTTTTTCCAACAGGGCCTGACCCATCTTCTGTACATCCACGAAGAATTACTGGTGTGGACAGAATTGAACCGTGAGCATTATTATTCAGTGTTATTTATCAGATTACATTGTATTTGTGTTTGGTTGTTTGTTTGCCTTCAAATAGGAAATAAAAATGTTTATTGTATTTTTATAATCTGACCAAAAAAAAGTCATTCTATTTTCAATGACCTAAATAACTTTTTATTTTACCTTTTTGATAATTTTTTTACTTTTACTTTGTGTATATGCAACATTCTAAATTACATTATTATAATTATATACACCAGTAATACGCATACTGAAAAATTTTTGAATTAATTCTCATCAGTATTTTTCCAAGTTATAGAGGAAATCATTTTCTTAATTTTTCACAGTGGCTATGATGTTATACTTCACTCGGAATCCTTGTGGGTTGAATATATAGAGAATGAAAAGTGACATAAAAAATTGTGAATTGCATTCTTCTACATTTGTGGAACTCTTTCATTTAGATCATTATATTGTTTGCCCGGACTTCCCTTTAATTATTTATAATATATATTTTGACTTGTTCAATGATAGTATCACACACTGGCGTTTTCTCTAAGTTATTAGCTTGTTTTGATTTTCTTTTTTCAGTGAACTTTATGGAATAGGTGCAGAGCTGAGCAATATTGGTGATGATCTTTCCACATATCAGGTATCAGTAAGTGTGTACGTTGTGATGTTAGTACATGTATATACATAAAGCATCATCATGTATATTTTTTTCTAGGGATGGTATTCTTAATATAATAAAAACAAAAATGGATTAATATACAATTGGTTTTTAAAATAAAACAAAAACAGATCTCATAAACGAAAGTGGGTTTTAAAAATTTATTTCAGAATCAAAAATGGTTATTAAAAAATGAATTGTAAGAATTGTCTTATTAAACATCATGTTGTGAGCCACCTCAGTTGCTGTACACACCCCTTGTCATTTATGTAAGCGTATGTGCAACTAAAAAACAAATACAGTATCCAATGATTAAGCATTGCATAACATTTTTGGGTCAATCCCAAAATTGTCCCAAAAATGTGTGTTTTACAAATGCATATCCCTGACTGTAAAATCAATGTCTAGCATATATTGTTTTAAATCAAGCTGCACGATGACTGACATTTTAAACAATTGAAGAAAGAATTTGGTGTCATAAGTCAAGCTGTATTACAAGAAACTGAATAATCAATTGCCACACTTTGATATGTGACAAAATGCATTTATAATTTCAGGACCATCAACTCCATGAACTCATCAGAAATTTTGAGTCACGACCTGAGAACAACTATGAGACATTCAAGAGTTGTCTATGGACACTTTTTGATGATTCTAGTTCATGGAGAACAAGACTGCTTGTTCTTGTTCTATTTAGTACTGATGTAGCTACTAGTCTTTTCCATCAGAACGCAGCAAACACCGCAGTAAGAATCTTGTATCCTGCGCAAACTATCATGGGTTGGATCGCATGGAAGCGAAAATGGGTGAGTATGATCATGGGAACAGTATTGCATATTCACTGTGTCTTAATTTCACGAATTTGTCAAGGAGACAACAAGTTTTATTGTTATTCTACATGTTCACATAGATTTAATTTAGTGAATTTTACTAATCAGCGAAAATGGCAAAATTAAAACCCAGTAAAAAATTAATGCAGTTACAGTATACATTTAATTTTTATTGAAGCAATTTACATAGAATATAGATAACTGATAATGACCACTAATAACAGGACAACATTACATTTGTCTTTGTGAAGGGATTTAAATGCATTTTAAGAATTTACTCCACTTCTTCATGTGAGAATTCAGCTTGTTTCTCCTGGGGGCAATAAAATGCAAACCTAAATTACAGCAGTGACATTTTAATCGTCCAAAAATCTATTTTTAGGCACTAGAAATTGAAATATACTTAGTATGTTTTGATTAGAAATGTTCTAGAGGATTGTTCAAATTTGATCTCTGTCCCCTGACAACCTGTAACTCAGACCACAGTCCCTCTATATAGTGATAGAAAGACTGTGCTCAGACATACATATTCATGAAACATCTTGGGAGATTTATGCACTCCATTTTTTTCACTAAAAAAACACCAAAATCAAGCACCACAACTGTATCTTAGTCGTATATGGATGGATGTCATTCAAATTTCAAATATATGTTGTTGAGTGTTTTAGAGATTGGATTTGAAAGGCTGACTTGCCATTTTGTTTTAATACATGCCTTGACCGATTGCAAACAAACTTTATAACATAACACATAAATGTGCAGTTGTTTCAAAATGGCCGACTTATTCAGTTCTTTTAACTATTGAACAATCATGACATGCCTTGTCTAAGCGAACATAACATTTAATTTTGTTTTTCACTTGCAGTATTGGCTTTTGGCCTTAGCCCAACCGTGGATGATGTATAGTGTGAACTTGCATTTCTGGATGATGTGAATGCTGTATGAATTGTTGGCATATCAGTTTAATATAGGGTCACATTATGCACTACGAGTTAATTTTGATCCACTGACTTTTTACACATTATATTTATACACAGAACTTGATACAAATTATTTCTTAATCACATATTTTAGTGAAATATCATTCAATCTTTGGAACAGCAGTAAATAACACAATTTGTGTTCGAAGTTATGAATGTAGAACATTGTGGCCAGATTCCCTTATGTTTGCTATGTAATTTTGACAAAATGCACACCTTTGTGTTGTTCAATGGAATATAATCGTTGTCATTCACTTGAAGCGAGTCTCTCACTCTGTTCAGATGAAATTGGAAAACCTGTATCTTTGGCGACATTGTGCATGTCCATTTGTCTTGTGATCTTTAAGATGGCCAACTGGCAGCCATTTTTGTGCTAATAATTCATCAAAATCACGCATTTCTGCCATTCCGGAACAGGATCTTGGTTGTGTATCGATGGATTTTGTTCAAATTTGGTTCAATACATTGTACATTTTAGATCAGATTCGAGATGACAACCATTTAAATTTAATGTTAAAAATTCATGAAAAACAGGCACTTCTGCCATTCTAGAACCGGATCCCAGTTGTGTATGGGACAGATTTTGTTCAAACTTGATGCAAACATTGGACAATATTAGTGCATATTTATTCATTTGGTTATCTGATTCAAGATGGCTGAATTGTGGTTACTGTAAAACCATTTAATTTCAATATTTGTCAAGGAAACAATGATTTTAAATGTTCACATAGATTTAACTTAGCGAATTTTACTTACCAGCAAAAATAACAGAATTAATGCATTTACATTATTTTAATGTAAAAATTCATCAAAATAAAGCTTTCCTGCAATTCCAGGTCTTGGTCAAACTTGGTATGTACATTTCATTTTGTTTTAGAACCATATCCTGACATTCCTGACTATTCATGTTCAAACTTGGAATACACAGAGACTATGTAATGCAATAACAAGTTTTTATTAGCTTCAAATAAAAGGACAAACATAAAAGTCAACTAATCTCATATTTAAACTGTGCCATCGAACAATAATTCCAACGCTGCCTGTACATTACCACCTGTTATCTGTAATGCTCGTATACATCTACTTTCATCTGTTATCCCCATCTCTCGTAATTGGCGTAACTGAGACTGAAAAAAACAAAAAGGACATTTATTGTTACAGCTATTGAACTGGTATTGAAAAGTATTTTTATAAATAGCCTTGAGAAACATATTTCCACCATTCAGTCATTGCAGGCCTTGTTCCCCTGACCTATGTAAACCATAGTGTATCTAGTATTTGAAACAGTGGACTTGATAAAGAGAGAGACTCTCTTGCTCCCAATGTTATCTTGGCAGCCATTTGGGTCTATTCAGCAGTAAAATATGAAGAATTCTGACAATCAATGATTGCTATGACTGGTGTACTTAATCATTCTATATTTGTAGGCCCTGATACGGTAAATGTTTTGTACATTATAATATAATAACAATACATGTACATAGTTTATTGCATGAAGTGCTGGTAAACGTTGAAGAATACATGTACTAGTAGTGTCCCTTTGACGAAACAATTTATCTTTTTTAATTACTAGTATTAAATGTTTGAATACCTAGTTTGAATAAAGCTAATGGCTGTGCTCAGCAACCACATTTGAGGTGAATAGTAGTTATATTGCTTTTATCAGAGAACGAACCTGCAGTTCTGGTCTAGATGGCGATGGAGATGAAGTAGGTGGTGTGGTATTACTTGATGATGAACCGGACATTGCCTGTGCCATGGCTTGACTGAATAAATCTGCTGTGATTGCACTTTGGCTGCTATTACTACTGGTAGACGGCTGGCTTTGATCAGCAGAAGCTGCAGAAGGCGTTCTATTGCTACCACCGGGACTGTCACCGAGTGATGTGCCCACACCTGCAGCAGCTAGCGCTGCAGCAAGCTGAGCAGATGTGATTGGTTGCGTGGAGGATTGTTGTTGTCGGTTACCCTGTGCCTGCAATAAAAAGGTGTATACCTAAGCACATAATCTGCTGAAGGCCTTCATGGATAGTATATAAGAGCATCAGCAGGCAATGGTTTAATTTTGATTTGCAATGAAAATAAAATGCAATATTAAGTGTTGCCAGACACCATTTGTTACTCAATTTTGTACGCTGCATTTTGATCAACATTGCTGATTTACATATAATTGAGACAAAAAGAAAAGTCATACAAGTTGTTGCCCAATTTAAAATAACCAGTGTCTTTATCACCTGACTAATGACATAATATTACGGATTACAGCTGCGTTACATTAATCATTACATTTAAAAGCAATTCATGATTCGACGTTTATTACAATTAATATGTGACAATAACTTACGGATTCAGAAACTTCCATTTCTTCATCAGGAAACCCTAAAAAGGAAGCTGCACATAAAACGATAAATAAACATCAGTTCATATTATACAAGGTATAGCATTTCAGCTTGCAAGTTGTTTTTCCGGACATGCAAAAATATCTTGGGGAAATTAAAGCTCTGTTTACAGAATTGAAGTAAATAGTCAGTGCTGGCTATCTAGGTGTATTAAAGGACAGAAGATATCATTAGAAAATGAACAAATCTGAGAGAGGTCTACCTGAGGTCCCTACATGTATAGTATCAAAACAATCAGACTTGCTGTTTTCAACAAGAAGTCGAAAATATCACTTTTTACCAAAAATAACAAATATATTCATCAAAATTAAAAAAATTTAAATATCATCATGGAATGAACAAATCTGAGAGAGGTCTACCTGTAGTACCTATAGAAGCAAAGCAATTACACATTTTCACAAGAAGTCAAAAATATCACTTTACACCAAAAATAACAAAAATATTCATCAAAATTAGATCTGAGAGATTCAGAGAGGTCTACCTAAGGTATATATACACCAAATATCAAAGCATTCAGGCTTGTAGTTTTCAAAAAGAATTCAAAAAAGTTGACACAGACGACTGATGATGGACACGGACAATCACTCATATGATAAGCTCCGCTCAACAAAGCAAAGCTAATAAAATACATACCTGCTCCTCTTGAAGTAGCACTCTCTTCATTGACGGCAGCTGCTAAATGAAGTGCTGCTTCACCTAAAGCAGGATGAGCCTTTACTATTCTGGAGTAGGAGGAGGGAAAAAAACAAATCTGTTAAAGTGTTGTGTATCATTGTGAATCATTATCAATCTAGTAATTCATTGCCTTCTTGAATTGCTTATCATGGTCATTGAATTTAGTAGTGGTCAAAACAAAACTAATTGATCCATTACAATTTGTCAGCATGAAAGTCCAAAACTGGCTCAGTAACAAAGTCATTTTGAGCAGTACTCTTATCACAGTATTAAATACCTATACTTACTTATGTATCATATTGTTGTGTACCATTGTGAATCATTATCAATTTAGTAATTCATTGCTTTCTTGAATAGGGTGAATTGCTTATCATGATTATTAACAAGTATCCATTGAATTTAGTATTGGTGAAAACAAGACTAATTGATCCATTGCAATTTATCAGCATGAAAGTCCAAAACTGGCTCAGTAACTAAGTCATTTTGAGCAGTACTTCTATCACAGTATTAAATATCTATACTTACTTATGTATCATATTAGGATCAGCCAGCTGTATAAGTAATTCTGGGTCTTGTAGCATAGCTTGGATAATAACAAATATGATAAGTTAATAGTGTGTGAATACAATCACCTTTAAAAACAGTAATTATGACAAATTCTCTCTCATCATCAACTTCATTATATGCTGTCAGTAAGTCAAGTGTCAATGTTACTAAGCATGAAAGGGCCATATACTGGAACACTGTTCCCCAAAGCCATCTCAAAACGTAATACCACCCAGTGCTCAGAACAAATAACATTCTCTAGCATTCTTATCATGATATATTGGAGATTTAGTTCATACTATCTATTTTCTAAAATCAACACGATTTTGTTGAAATTTCCTAGTGAAGTTAATCAACAGGAACTACACAACCTCAATGCATTAGAAGACAGTTACTCACAAGAGTATGGATATAGAGTTTATACACTACATACATCAGAACACAAGAATTTGAACTGATGCATACTTTACACATATTAGTCAATTATAACATTACCGGTAAATAGTACTAGTATAAGAGCCTTAAGAATAATTCAACTACATGTGTATCATGTTATTCATATCTCAATTTGTAAGGAAGTTATGAGACATGACCAAACAAATATCTCTAACAAATCTCTTCATAATCAATTATCTCATTTGCCTATTGATTCATTGTCAACTAAACAGTTTACTATGATGAAAACAAATTTACAGTTTTACTTGAATAGTGATGCAGAAATGTCACAATGTAAGAAGTACGTTGATGAAATAACGTGTACATACCTAAAGCAGTTGGATCAGCCTGCAGACATGGTGTAGCTGCAATCACATTGTCCAACATCACTCGACTTGTCAGTATACGAATCACCTGACAACAAATGATTGATAAGAAGAATCATGTACTATTGAAAGGAATGTGCTCTCCAACTGAAAATATCTGTCTTACATGAAATCTATTAAAACAAATATTTTTCTGAATGATCTGATGAAGAAGTTATGAAACATAGACCTATAAATACCATAACACTTCTATTACTAGTAGATGCACCATCCGATTTTGGTTAAAAACAATTTTTTTTTTATTTTTCTCTAGTAATAGTTCTTTATGAGGATAACTTGAGAAGAATTATGGTTTTTTTTTTGGGGGGGGGGTCACATGATCATTTGCAAACACGTTCGATTTTGCCCTGAAAATACCCATAATTCTTTTTGATAGAACAATTTGGTCGAATGTGACACTATTCTCAAAAAAGCCAACTCAACCATGTACTAATGATTTAGTTTGGGGCACTCTGGCAGGGAGGTGTTCGCTTTAGACATGCTTTCAGTTTACACAGAAGACAGTGTAGATATATACCATTTGCTGTGTGTACTTACAGTATGTCTCTGGGCTGGGTTCAATAATGCTGACTGCAGAGCTGTAAGTAATTGCTGAATTGCTGCTTCATCCATGGGTTCTGTCGACAAAGTGTACAAGAAACATTTGGTATTTTGGCTGAAAACAGAAAGATTCTCCTTTTATTTGTATTAATTTTCCTTTTTTAAAATGAACTCCAACTCACAAAGTACAATGTATTAATATTATATTGAGTTGATATTGCTCAGTTAGATTTGACAGCTGGAAACGTTTAGAGAATCATCTCAAGAGCAACTTCCCATGTAATCAAATTTAATTACAGTAATACTACATGTGTATAAAATTATTTTTGATGTACGGTTTATGTATGGGTGTTTTATAGTTTGTTTGCATTCCCTTGTCCATTACACTTACTGTAAAGCTAATTAATTTTCTTGAAACAACCTAGCACAAAAATAGTGATAGTGAAATTCATGCAAAAATAAAGTAGTCCACTGTAATAATAACAATTATTTGAGAATGACTTACCAGCCTCCATGCCAGTTTCTGGTTCCTTTTTTCGGAGGGCATGCAACGTGACTCCAGGTTTAACACCATAACTTTGTACAGTATTCTCATTTCTCATATAACGACCACAGTAAATAAGATCTATTGACAAAGTATTGAGATAAAGATATGTAATGTAACTACCCGTAGTGTTACAACAAAAATCTTATTTGAAATGATCACCAAAGCAACAATGTACATTCCTCTATAAATCCTAACGCAACTGAAACTGAGCCTGAATCTGTGAAAATTTGGCTGCTCATTTTTTGTGTACTGGTATGTTTTTTTTTGCTTTTCTGATTAACTGATTAAGGCAATATCCACATAAATCAAATCTCAGCTACATGTATATTACAACCTTAT